AAGCACTTATTCCACTGAGCCATCTCTCTGGCCCTCTAATTATTTTTTTGTTCTGATTAAAATTTAATGGTGAGCCCACTACCCGATGTGCTATGAATCAGTGACTAATTTATTATGTGGGACTTGCTATATAACAGCTGGATGCTATGAAGATATTGCTCATCAAACAGTAGTTAGAAGCTGTTCTGTACTTTACATCATGTTGTGAGGGGTTCCTTTACATCAGATTTGTAAAGGCAAATCTGTTTCTTATTTAAAGAAACATTTTCTTGTTGTTGCTACTGGGATGATACCCAGGACCTCTTGTGTTCTAAACACTGGCTCTCACACTGAGCTATACTCTGAGCTATATTCCCAGGAATCTTGGACATGTCATTTTCCAAGAGGGCAAGTGACTTAGAGTGTAAAAGAACAGAATTCATAGAGATGTGTGCCATCTTCTTGCCATGTAGGTACTGAGTAGGGATAATCACCTTTCATATGTAGAATTGTTAGTTAATTTTTTTTTATGTTGGTACTTATTTTCTGTCTGCAATTTCATCAGCATTCATTGAGTATATTCTATGCAGACTCTAAGTTAATAAAACTGTGTTTAAAGTTGAACAATAAATTAGTGTTTTTCATGTGTTTACAGTGGGATTATGAGACCCGGCCTCAATGCCATTATGGGGCCTACAGGTGGAGGCAAATCTGTGTAAGTATAGGCAAGTCTTCTCTGTGTATTTTTATCACATTTATCAGCTACACTAATAAGGCATGATAGTATGATTGATATGCACTATTTGCCACATTATGAGCTAATGAGGAAGAAAAAGAAAGAGGTTAAAATTCAAAGAGGGAATGCAGAAGAAGATATAATTAAATACATGAGTTAGATAAAGGAGAATATTGCCTAATTTCAATTGCCGAGATAAATATCTTGGAGGGTCATCAGAAGTCTATGCTGGATAAATCAGTATTGTCTTCTGTTTCAAATTTTTGAGAATTTGTATAGTACATACTGAAAAGGGAGAATTTTAAAATTAAGCCTAATATTTTTAATAAACCACAATCTTGCAGGGGATAACAATGGGGATATGTTCTGAAAAGTGTGTCCTTAGGGAATTTTATTATTATGCAAAGATCATAGAATATACCTACACAAAGTTAACTACAATGTTACTAAATGACATAATCTTTTTCTTGATCAAATTCCAATTATTGGTACTCATTTACTGAAAAACAT